AGACAGACTTGCTGGTCGAAAACTGTTAAACGTGTTAATATATAATATTTTACTATTTTACTAATTTCCAACTGACAGCTGCACATTAAAGTTAAATTTCATATATTTAAACCTGATCTTGTATTGAAGTGCGTTTAGGTCTGACACTGTCCCATAATGCAGGACATCAGTTTAATTTTTGGTCAAATCAAAGCAGAATTAATGTTATTGATTGAATATTCTCTGTAATAAATACCAGCAGAACAATCCATTTTCTAGTCTGTTTTCTATCAGATGCAGTAGAAGCAATGTAAACGGACCAAACATAAAAACATATTTATGTGATTTCTGCATTACCAACTAAATACACATCGGGTTCCCATGGCAACGCGATACATAAAGTGTGTGATGCTGTAACTACACGGCTTCATTCAGTGATATTAGTAACGCACAACTCAGCCTGTTAGCAGATAAAACACATTCCCTCAGCTGAGAATCTGTATCGCTCATAAATAATAGTCAGGAAACCATCTGGTTAAAGGGAGACGCTCTTTCCAGCTGATTTAAATCCTAAACTCTGAACACAACCTGCTCCTGACCAGGTTAGCTCCAGAGCATCAGTTACCATGGAGATGTAGCAGGTTTAAAGAGAGCCACCTTCATGACACTGAAAACTCAGACTTCAAACTCAGCCTACCTGATAACCCACTGATCTGGCTCAGTAGTACAGAACTCAGGTCTCACCAATAACAAAACCCTATAAAGCAGAAATGGTCATTTTCCATTTCTCCATTTTCTTCATTAAAAGAAAGATGTGAATTAAATAAAAAAGAAGAAACACACCCCAGGACCCTCTTATACCACATCATCACTGCACAACCCCCCTACACACAACACACTCATCCCTACACTGTACAACACAGAGCCTTGTGTGTTGGTGTCCACGTACATCTCCCTGAGAACTCGTCCCTCCACCGACATCCTCAGCTGCTCCGCTCGCACGTTTTCTCGAAGCCGCGGATAAAGAAAGACTTTTGCCACAGCCTCCCCCTTGTGAAGGCGTAATGACAGGCGTGGGTGTTTACCTCGGCTCACGCACGTGCAGCGTCTCCCTGAAAGGTTCAAGCAGAAACCCTCAGATACTCCTCTCTCTCTCTCTCTCTCTCTCCTCCCCCCCTGCCTCCCTCCTTCCCCTCGCTGCAGTGGTAATTGGGTATGACACGGGATCAACAGGGAGAGAGCGAGGACGCATTTGAATGCGTCGACTGTCGTCTTCCTCACTTCTCTTCTCTAACCTGCCGCCTTACAGCTCCCAGCCCTCGCTCGCCGCTGTTACCGTAGCAACATCTGCGTGACCGCATCCTCCGCCCTCCCTCCTCCACCTCCGTGTCATTTCTTTTATTAAGATTGGCCGCTCGTGCCCAAATGTGTGTGTGTGTGTGTGTGTGTGTGTGCAACAGCTCGACTGTGCGTAGCAGCAGAGCATCGGCTGCCTAACTCTGTGGTCCAAGCCAATTACCAGCAGCCTCACTACGCATGTTAAAGCTACAACTCAGGAAGAATTACCCCGAGCACAGAGAATGCAGCCACTCGAGTCAAACTTGTTACATTAAGTCAATCAAGTACATTATTGCACACCTGGGTACACCTCAGAGGGGACGTCTCCAGCTGTAGCCGTCACACTGCTGCCACCAGTCAGTCCATACAGCTTTCCTTCCTCATATTTCTTCTTCTCCTGTCAAGAATTCTTTTTTTCTTCTTTTTTTTACAAGTGAATGCCTTTCTGTTGGAACAGCCTTTTTTTCCAACACGTTTTCATTAAATTTCAGGTCACGCCTGATGACAATGGTCTCTGTCATTCTAATTATTGCCATTTTATTTCCCACAGGCTGAGGTGGAGGACTCACAGCTGTTCCTAAGAACTGCTAAAAAATGGAATGGTGAACTTCAAAATGAACTTCATTACAATTTCACAAGTTCTACCTTCTCTGAACCCCGAGCAGTTTGTGGCATTTTTGGCTGCTGTCACATTTTTACTTACTGTGGGCTCCTCTGTGAAAACAGCACAGAAGAGCCCACAGGTGTTACCAACACTGGGGATAAAAGTGACTCTGTACCATTAGATATTTTGCGCCTAATAATTTTAATTTGTTTCCAGACTTGCCTCCTACCTGCTGTGCGTCTACACAGCCTGTAGTTCAGGTGAGTCCCTGACCCAGCTGAGCCTCTAATAGCTGCACAGGTAACTTTAGTTTTTCACAGAATATAGTTAAGAAAACACTTTGAGATTTTTTTTTAAAGAGGTACATGGAATAAAGTGATATTTATAAAACACCACGATTTTAAGCTAAGATTTGGTTCAGTTTCCCAAAGAAACACCACCTCACAGATGAGCAGTTTAGGGAACTCTTTCTGTTTTTATTGTTAATATTCTGGTAATTTGATGTGATTTGGGTGATTTTTTTTTTTAAAAAGACAACATGCCGTTTAAATCTGGGTTTGGTGGTTCAGAGGGTTTAAAGGATCTGGTTCAAATCCTTAATCACATGCTCGATTCTCTTTGACATTTATTGGTTTCATCTCGTTAGTCTGGGATGACGAGATGGCTAACGGTGCTGGTTTTATGTCGACATGTTTTGAAATAGTCACATAAACTGTGTCCAAAAGGTTTCACCACCAAGTTTTGCAAGACAAAAACTCCCAAACAGTGGCCTACTCATCACTGATCGCTGTTGCATAATGATTTTGCACGTGTTCTTGTCTTCTTGCTGGCATTAACCAGGATCTTTTATTCCTAACAGATAAACAGTTTTAACAGGATTAGTTTATTTGCACTTGATTCTTTTATGACACAAAGAACTGCCTCTCCATGGATGAAGAGCGCCGTGCACGGTGACAGATTGCCAGGCTGTGCAGTGATTCTGGCACAGAATCAGTCGCGCTGGAGGTCAAACAATGTGCTCAAGTACAAAAAGCCTGTTTTCATACATAACCGATACAAAAACAAGGAACTCAGTCGGCGTGCTTCTGAAAAGCAATAAATGTTTTCAAATCAGAGAACTTTTTCTGATTGGTGGGAAAGTGAGTGTATCTGTAGAAAATAAAATCCACTTTGATGCACTGGAAAGACTTGGTGTATAAGTCATACTGAACAGGACGCATTAAAGGTGACGTCTGTGATTCTGGAGAGAGATTCTTGACGTTTAGCTAATTAGTAAATGGAGATGAGCTGGATGCTAAAATGCTTATTTCCACAGTAAAGGCACAAAACCATAGTCTCCCTGAACCACACCTTCCATGCGCACATGTGCACAGAACTTTCTTTGTTTCCCGTTTAGTGTAAAGGCCGTACATGAATGGTAGAGTTCTGTTTAGTGCACACACAGAGTGGTCAGTCAGCAGACCGTGAGGAGATATTCACTGAATCTGACGTAAAGCGTACTGGATGAGATGCAGCCTTGAAGGTTTCATATTGTGAAAATCCAATTTAATTGTGGTTTTTAAAACATTTAGCTGTGAAATAAAAAGCTTAGAAAATATGAAAACTCTTACCACTGCCACTCATTTGCACTCCCAGCGTCTGAGGAACTGAAGACAAGGTGGATTAGTTTGATTTTTGATGGCAAAATCGCCGCAACAACAGGAAAATTCTGAGTGTAGCAAACATTACCATTATCTTTAATCATATTTCTCTGTATCTGCTGTCAGACGATGCATTAGGGATGAAACAGTGACCAAAACGCAGCCCATTAACACCAGCATTTTCTTCAGTGACATTTCCTGCTCTGCACCAATAAACGACTGATTTCATAAACCACACCGTTGTCTGACAAACTCACCGTACATGTGAGCTCACTAAAAGAAAACGTGAAAAGTGACACATAGTCCTGGTGTTAAACACATTCACTGTTTTGCTCCACAAAATCAACCACAGACACAGAGAGAGTCTTCTTCCTGAAAGGAGCGTAAACAACAGCAGCAGCTACAGAACCTGACACGGCCGACAAAAATAATTCTTTTAAAATTATTATTTATCAAAAAAGGGGGGTGATACCTTTAAATGCCCGCTGAGGTTTTGGCAGAAGAGGCTAAAAATGAAGACGAATGAAAACATCAGATCCATGTGCAGTGATGAGACTAAAGCTCTTGAAGTTAATGAAGAAAATAAAAATACCAGGATTTCACTCGTTTACCATCGTAAGAACAACCTCAGCTGAGAGCTTGAAGGTTATAATTAACTTCTTTGTTAATAAATTTACTCACACTCAAGTACGTTTATTCATTTTCGGAGGAAGACGGAGCTGATGTGTTTGTGAAAACTATTCAACATGAGCCAACGGAGGTGTTTTATATTATGCTCCTTGTAATATTAGATATAAGCTGTCATTGTTGTACTTCTATACGCAAGACCTGGTGGAAAAAAGTTCTAAATTTATCGAGCAACCTGTCGGTGCTTCGCGTTTTATTTTTAAGGTCACAAGAATCATAGCAGACCTCGACGGCATCGTCTTGTCATCTCCAGTCGATAAAATTATGCATTTCTCTTGAACATTCTGTTAAATTTCAAACTACACGTGGATGGAAATCTGGTCACTGACACTGAATGCAACACTTCTGGTCTTCTTGATGGATTTTTTTTATTATCTAGAATTCTGACAAAACTTGTGTCTGGATTTTTCCATCATCTGGAACTCCACTTTTGTGTGTGTTTTTTTTTTTCAAAAGCATCTCTCCCTTCGTCATAAAACTCCTACGTTATCAAGATAAGTAGTTAATTTATTGGAAAAGGCTGCTAATCGTGGCAGGATGATTGTCACTGTGTTGGTAAACTTGAGCTTGACTTAAGTCTGACTTTTAAAAGGTTTTCAGATATTTAACTGCATTGAAACATGTATTTAAATGAAATTACAGGAGAAAAGTTGCATCATTGACATTCAATGTTTTTTTTTCTTTTGAAAATAAATGAAAGACAGAATTAAAAACAGGCATTGAAGAGGAACAACTGACAAACAAGACCCACACAGGTTGTAAATGGTTTTAATAAAATCATGTAATACATCACAGGTCTGATGAATTGAAGTCAGGATTACCTGAGCTTATTCCTGTGGCATTCAAAAAACAAAATACAAAACCATAAAAGAAATACAACTGAATCCGTTCTTCGTTCAGCCAGCGATCAAAACAAGGACGGTCCCTACGCACTCCACTCAGCTCACTCCTCACATTCTTTTCTTTCTTTTCATGCCTTTGGAAGCAGCAGAGGTTTGGACGTAAGCTGAATTTTACATTCAGCCGACGGAGGAGTGGCCCTGAATGCATCTTTACATCTCAAGCCCTACAAGTGCTCTACGCCGATCTTGTAAATGACTGAAATGAAAGCGTCCTGACTCAGACCATGAACCAGATGGCCGCACAGCACACTCTTTATTTTATTTTTCTAAATTCAAAAAAAACCTCCCTGTATAATATAGCAGTGCAGAATAATAGAGCAGCTTCAACTGACGGTGGATAAATAGTGTAACAAAAAGTTCTGAAAACAAGGCATGCTAAAAGCAAATCAACTCTCCGACAAATGAAAACAGGAACGCAATTAGCCGCCTAAAAGTAAAAGCCTGTGTCCGATAACTGCTTTACCCTTTAACTCCCACTCTTCATCCGTGGTTGACCAGCAGGTTCTGAGAGAAAAGGAAACAAAAGAAGAAGAGAATTAGTCCATCTGCACACCTGCCACACCTTCCGACCTTTGAAATGCTCTGAGGTGCACAGACTGTCCCCGCGTCGTGCACTTTGCCATCTTTAACCGACCACGGCTGAAAGGTCAGCTCTGGTAATAGCAGGGATTATCTCAGTAATGGAGAGAAGTAAACCTGTTGACTAGTGTTAGTCAGCTCAACACCGCCACTCCAGAGGCTTTTTCATACCGCCACACATTATGTACAACTCGAGAACTTCTGAACTGAAGTCTGTGTGTGGTGTCGTTTTGTTTCCAGCGCATCAGGCCTTCGACACGGTGGTTGTTAACAAGATGCATGTTTAGTATGAGCAGGAAACAGGGATGAGGGTAAACACATGAACAGCTGATGGGCTAGCAAACGTTTTTCCTGTTCCCTCGAATCAGCATAGTTTCTGTTCATTTGCACATTTCTGCATCTCCCTCATATATTCTTGTAAATTTGTTGACTTTTCCTATATTATATTTTCTATATTTTTATCTTATTTTACCTTCATTACTCTAATATTCTGTGTTGTCTTGTTGCTTTGTTTACCCCGTTGTTGAATATTGCTGCTGTAACATTTCCCCTCTGGGATTAGTAAAGTCAGTCTAAGTTTCCACCAAAGCATACAGACCAGGGATCTCCAACTCTGGACCTCGTGAGCTACTGTTCTGCAGGTTTTCTCTGAGTCGCTGACGAGGACCGGAGTTGGATACAGATACAGACGGTCCTAAAAAGAAAGCAAAGTGCCTGTGATGCTAAACAGGCCTCAAGGGTATAAGATCCATCCATCCATTATCTATATACCGCTTGATCCTCACGAGGGTCATGGGGGGCTGGAGTCTATCCCAGCTGACTTAGGGTGAAGGCAGGTTCACCTGAACAGGTCACCAGTCTATCACAGGGCTACACTTAGAGACAGACAACCAAGCACACTCACATTCACGCCTACAGACAATTTACAATCACCAATTAACCTCAACATGTTTTTGGACTGTGTGGGAGGAAGCCGGAGAACCCGGAGAGAACCCACGCTGCACGGGGAGAACATGGAGACTCCACGCAGAAAGATTCCGGTGCCCCCACTGGGACGCGAACCGGCAACAGTGCTACCAACTGCACCACCTTGCAGCAGGGTATAAGATGTATTTTTTAAATCAATTTCACTGCACAGACTGAAGGCATCGACATCAGTGTTTCTATCTGACATATAATCCAGAACCTCATGATGAGAGATGTTTTTCTTAATGGTTCCATCATGACATGAGCTGTTTTTGGCTCCAGTCACTGGTCTGCTGCATTCACTGCTACTGTCTCACTTGATACGGAGACGCTTTACCTTTTTCTGTTTCTGCTGCCAGACAACGGAAAACACTACGTTTCTAGACTACATATTAACCAGCTGTCGCCTCCAAATAGTTGCTCTCACCGCCGAAATCCTAAACACTGCTCCAGAAGTCAGCGAACGCTAACAAGACACGCTCTGTGTTTGTATAATATCCACATTTCAAAAATGTGCCTGCTGTATCTGTGGCACTTCTCCACTGCGTTATCATGAAGATATTCTGTTCCTCCAAGGCAGACGCAGCGACCTCGAACATACAGTAGTCGTGGCCCGTCAGGCCTGCCTGTTTGGAAACAGCCATATAGAACTGATCAAAGGAGAGCAACCTCCATCCTTCAACCAGAGATCAATGAGGTCCTTGAAAGCCCAGCAACATACCGTCCCGGAGAGGAGACGGCGGGTCTGACACAATGATTCCGAGCCGTACAACCTTGTCTCGTGCGCCGCGAGGAGTGGTTCGCTCAGATTGTGTGCTCTCCCATGAAATCAATTAACACCTTGAAAGATGATTCTGAGAGAGATGGAACATGACAAACGAACCAATCTGAGCGGACGTTGTCCACCATGCAGGTCTGTTCCTACAACCTTGGAGTGCAACCTATTAAACTGTTCAATAAAAGCTACGTCGTTTACTGCTACGTAGATGGTCTAAACAAAACAGAATGAGTGTGTCGTAATCGATTATTTGCCTTCAATGTCAAGGTCTTTTTATATACACACTCACACACACACACATATATATATGTATATATACACACATATATAGGTGGAGGTCGTGCTTTTTAATAAGTGCAGTATCTAATAAGATGGCTTCTGCCTATTATATTATGCAGCTAGCTTATATAAGCCGATTACAACAGGGAGGCTTCACATTGACGACTCCCTCACAGAATCCTAATAAATGCAAGGCGAGATATGCTAATGCTTTAACCTTGTTTTTTTTCTTTTTTTTAAGATACAGATACGATGCATTCCACTGCAGGCACATGCAGCGTATTTATCAAAGAGCAGTTCAGCTTCTTTGCCATTTTAGTAAAAGCTTTCAAAGTGTGCTTCTCATCTCACTGAATATCAAGGATAAGCAAGGATCATGCAAGAAGAAGCTAAAGGTCTCATATAGTGAGAGGGGTTGTTATATACGTGTAGGTATAAAGCAAAAGCTGTGGTGTATTAAGACCCTTACTGCTCCTCCCAGCTTTGCACACCAGAAAGAATTTTGTTGTTTCATGTGGAAACACAGGAATCAATAGTCGTTGACCTAAAATTTAGCAAAACCAGCTGTTCTGTTGTTGGCTGCAAGAGTGAACACAGTAGTCTTCATGCACTCCCAGCATCTGAGGAACTAAGGACCCAGAGGATTTATTTTGATGGAAATGTCCCCACAACCAACAGCACAATCCTCAGTGTTAGAACGTTGCGTGGCTAATGCAGCTAATGCGACTGTTAGCTTTGATTGTATGCCCGCAGGTAAAAGCTCTGTGGGAACTGTAATGCTGTGAGACATTCAGAGATGGTGGAAACTTTATGACTGATGTGAAACCCATCAACAGTTCAGTGCAAACTACATCCAGACAGTGTTTGCGATTGTGTGCTGTGAACAAGCACAGCAGATACATACATGTATGTAAAATGATCACAGAGAGAAAGCCAAAGGCAAAAAAAAATAATCCTGGTCTCACATTATGTCTGTGTTGGCTGTCGTGCGGTCAAATGTTTTGGTCCGCACAACTAAAAACAGACTGATAGGGAAAGTTTTATTCTTTAAGGGGCATAGACACCAGCAGCTCAACGGTAATTAAAGCCTCAAACACTGCAACAGTCCATTTAGAAGACGACTAAAACCAGACGTTATACTATCATTGGCAGTATTTTGAGATTAGAAATTGAAGGGCACATTGTGGAAACGTGACACTTGCATTAATTAGCTGAAAACAGGTGAAGTTAACATCAAATGTAGATTTAAAAACCCACAAAACAAATCTAAAGACTGACTCTATCAGCTATCTACAGCAAGATTAGGCGTCCATGCTCGCGGCTCTTCACTAAATGCCAATGTCGTGTACAGTTAATGGAGCTGATATTTAGCAGGTCATGTTTACCATGCTCAGTAGTTCAGACATTTTTCCAGCAACACCATCAATCTGACATGTTTGGCTTTGGAAAAAAAAAAAAAAAGTCTCTTCTGTATATCAACTGAATGTCGTCTTCTCAATGAACTGTAATAAGTGATGCCTGGTTATTTCTCCTGTTGCTGTCCATTAATACATGTGCGTTTATAAAGGGTAATTAATGTAATAATTACACGTATTAATCAGTTCAAGGCTCTTTATCATAAAATCAAGCAAACACCAAAACCTCTTGTAAATTTGCTTCGGCGTGCTGCGCAAAGAAACCATCGAGCTCGGCCCCACTTGGCCTCAGAGGCTGGACAACAGCAGGGAAGAGGGTTAGCTCATGTGGAACAATGCAATGAGCTCAATTGACTGAGGGCGAGGGGTGCATTGACCTGAAGCCAGCTGGTACAGAGACAGAGACTGTGTGCATGCATATAACGCATGTGTGCGCAGGGAGCGCGCCGTATCCGTTCTAAGCATTGCAGATTTCACTCCAGCTGCGAAAGTCAAACCATTAAAACCACAGAGAGACTTACAGAGCGGGATGATCAATATGACTGATCCGTCTGGTTTCCCTCTCTTCACCTCCCGCTGCTTTTCCATTCTTCTGTTCCCTTCCAGTGTCTGTTCACTTTCTCCCCTCCTTCACTGTTCTACCCCGGATCTTTTTGTTCATTGAACCTTCCCTCCGTTATTCATAGTACAATAAACGCAAACCTCAAAATGCTTATTTCTTCTCTCCTCTATGTTTATCGTAGTAAAAAACATTGGCTTGAATTGGCTTTAGTGAATGCCGGGTTTCCCTCCCGTAGAAAGGCTGAGGTGCAGGGCCTAAGTGTTGCTGCGGAGCACCTTAAGCGAACGTAAAGAGGAATTTGGGCAGCAAACCAGAATGAATATAAAGGCAATGGTGAGAGTTTTATGCACTGAAAAAAAATGATGAAAGGAAAGGTGGCTTGACCTCGAACTGACAGTCGACAGTTTGTGTTTAGACAAACGTTTGTGTGATCGGCTCATTGCCAAGATAATCGAACTATTGATTCTGATGAGCAACTTGCAAGTCTTTGATGAGGAGCGCCTCTTTAAGCAAAAAATGTTTAAACTTTTTATGATTAGGGAACATTTCCTGTGGATTTTAACAATAGTGACAGCCAGTAAATGAGAAGAAAAAGCTAATGTAGCCTATTTTACACCTATAGCCAAGCTGCTTAGATGTTCACTCACGGTGAAGCTACGTCGCACGGAGATACTGTGACTGAAGGAATGTTTGTATCTAACGTGGTTTGTCAGGTAGACAAAGACAGTCTGTGTTCACACTGATGGAAACTGCTGGTCAAGGCATTTTCAAGGCAACAACACAAAACGGCCAAAAGAAAAAAATAAAAAAAGCTCATCTGATCGATAATTGAGAGTGTCCTTTGGTAGTGTAACTCACACTGAACTAGAGTTAACGTTTGGTAACTTAAAAAAAGATAAACATCGACCAAAAACCCTTAAGATTC